AGATCACAGCTCACAGCAACCTCCAGCTCTTGGGCTGGAGGTCTTCTCTTGCTTCAGCCTCCCGAGTAGCTGGGACTACAGGCGCCCACCACAATGCCCAGCTATTTTTTTGTTGCAGTTTGGCTGGGGCCAGTTTCAAACCCGTCACTCTTGGTATATGGGGCCAGCGCCCTCCTCACTGAACCACAGGCACTGCCCTGTAGATTTGTTCTTAAGCTGAATTTATATGTAAGCTGGAACAGATACATTTACCTATTACCTATAATAGCCTATCTTCATAAGTGCCAGTCACATGTCAATTGAATATTTGTAAGTGTGGGAATGCCTGTATATCTTATATAATTGCAAGCTGGTAAATTTAATATTTCATCTCCACAGTCCCAGAGACATTTTACAATTCAAAAGTAATGAAATCCCTCCAGAATAAAGGAGTGTTTTTTTCCTTTTGGAGACAGAGTCTTGTTCTGTTGCCCTGGCTAGAGTGCAGTGGCATCATCATAGCTCACTGTAACCTCAAACTCCCGGGCTAGCTGGGACTACAGGCTCATGCCACGACACCTGGCTAAGTTGTCTATTTTTTGTAGAGACAAGGTCTTGCTGTTACTCAGGCTGGTCTGGAACCCCTGGTATAAAAGCAACCTTCCCACAATGCCAGGATTACAGGTGCAAAGCTGAATATGTAATTCTTTCTTTTTTTAGTAACTCCCAACAATTATTAAGACTCTAGGGTGGCACTCGTGGCTCAGTGAGTAGGTCGCCAGCCCTATATACCAAGGGTCGAGGGTTCAAACCTGACCCCAGCCAACCTGCAATGAAAAAATAGCCAGGGGTTGTGGTGGGCGCCTGCAGTCCCAGATACTCAGGAGGCTGAGGCAAGAGAATCCCTAAGCCCAAGAGCTAGAGGTTGCTGTGAGCTGTGATGCCATAGCACTCTACCAAGGGTGACAAAGTGAAACTCTGTCTCTAAAAAAAAAATCTATTTAGACCAGGAACTATGCTAAACAGATTAACATGAAATATCTTCTTTAGTTTTTACAACTATTCTTTTTTGTTGTTGTTGTTGAAGTTTTTGCCCAGGGCCAGGTTTCAACCTGCCACCTCCAGTATATGGGACCGGTGTGCCCTACTCCTTGAGCCACAGGTGCTGCCCATAACTATTCTTTCTAAGGAAGGAAAATAATATTAGAAAAGTTAAATAATTTCCTCAAGGTCACCTTGCAAATGTTAAGCAGCATTCATGTTCTTTTTTATTTTTTTTGTAGAGACAAGAGTCTCACTTTCTCACCCTTGGTAGAGTGCTATGGTGTCACAACTCACAGCAACCTCCAACCTTAGGCAGTTCTCTTGCCTCAGCCTCCTGAGTAGCTGGGACTACAGGTGCCTACCACACGCCCAGCTATTTTTTGTTGTAGTTTGGCTGGGGCCAGGTTCAAACCCAACAACCTTGATATATGGGGCCAGCGCCCTACTCACTGAGCCACAGGTGCCACCCCAGCATTCAGGTTCTTAACCCTCAATCCCCATCACCCTTGACCTCCTGATCATTCTGCCGCCACAGAGATGCAAAAAAAAAAAAAAAAAAAAAAAATCATTCCATTGGGTGGTGCCTGTGGCTCAAGGAGTAGGGTGCTAGCCCCATATACCAGAGGTGGCGGGTTCAAACCTGGCCCTGGCCAAAAACTGCCAAAAAAAAAAATCATTCCATTTATGAATGCCTAAGGTCTTACCATCATGAAAGTTAAGACCTTAAACATTAAATATATATGAATTACAGATATATATAAATAGATCAGTATTCAGTATTGAGTTATTTTCTAAGGATGAAAGACCAACTGAAAGTAATCAATACTGTAACAGCATCAATCATTTAAAAACAAGTTCTTTACTTCCTAATTTATATAAATTTTACCTGGAAGACATGTTGAACAACTGTAGTAATTTGTATCTCCATCTGTAGGTTTTGTTGTATGGTCTTTACCTTGTCTGAATTTTCCATACTGTCCAACTCATTTTTCTGTTTGTTCTTTTCCATCTGTATTTCTAAAAGCTTACTTTCTGAAGCTTGTTTTAATTCTGGTAGGTTAAAAACAAATATACCACAAATGACAACTCTACAAACAAGGATCTCAAACAAGTATGAAGTAGAACATTTCCTGGTTATTTTATTTATTTATTAATTTTTTGAGACAGAGTCTCACTTGTTGCCCTTGGTAGAGTGCCATGACATGATAGCTCACAGCAACCTCAAACTCCTGGACTCAAGCAATTCTCTTCCCTCAGCCTCCCAAGTAGCTGGGATTATAGGCGCCCTCCACAATGCCTGGCTATTTGTAGAGATGGAATCTCACTCTGGCTCAGACTGGTCTTGAACCCGTGCACTTAGGCAATCCACCTGCCTCGGTTGCCCAGACTGCTAGGATTACAGGCGTGAACCACCATGCCCAGCCTAAGAGTATTACTTTAGAGGTAAACATTTCAATAGCTTCAATGCAAAACTCCATTTCATATTTTCATAAATTAAGTAAAAAGGTTGTAGAACCCATATATTTCAATTGATCATTTAAAATTATGTATATATAAATGTTCATATGGGCTCTGGAAAAAGGTTTGGAATAATATATACCAAACAAGGAGGAGGCATAACTTTTGCATTATAATTTTTTTGTATCATCTTATTCTCCCTCCACTGAGAATATATTAATTTTGTAATTTAGACCTCTAAAACAATGAGAATAGGGAAAAATGTATTTCATATCCTGTTTTTTAAATTACCATGTCCAAAATATTAAATATTGAAAATTAGGAAATTTCTCAGTGGCTGAGACATCTAGCCTTTTTATTATTTTTTTATTGAATCATAGCTGTGTACAGCAATGCAATCATGGGGTACAACGTGCTGGTTTTATATACAATTTGAAAAATTTTCATCAAACTGGTTAACATAGCCTTCGCAGCATTTATATTCCATATTTAGTAAATTTCACATGTACCCTTGTAGGATGCACTGTAGGTGTGGTCCCACCCATGACCCTCCCTCTACCGACATCTAGCCTTTTAACCTAATTTCTCCAAAGTAGGTGAAAAAGTGTTCTGACAAAAAAAAAAAGAAAGTGTTCTACATACCCAATCTCTTCTTTCTAACATCAACCAGTTTTTCTTCTAAATCCCAAGATTCCTGTAAGAAAAAAAAAATTAAAGCTCATATTGTACTTAACAAATCTCTAACACTTATATCACGTCTATTAGTTCATGCTTTCTCAAGTTTCAGTTTTTGATACTATTTCTTTTTTTTTTTTTTTTTTGAGACAGAGGCTCAAGCTGTCCCCCTGGCTAGAGTGAGTGCCATGGCATCACAGCTCACAACAACCTCTAACTCCTGGGCTCAAGTGAGTCTCCTGCCTCAGCCTCCCAAGTAGCTGGGACCACAGGTGCCTGCCACAATGCCCAGCTATTTTTTGGTTGCAGCCGTCATTGTTGTTTGGCGGGCCTGGGCTGGATTTGAACCTGCCAGCTTAGGTGTATGTGGCTGGCACCTTAGCCACTTGAGCCACAGGCACTGAGCCTAAAAATCCTTTAAAGAAAAAAACAAACAAAAATAACATAGTTGTGAAGAAAAGAGAAAAAGAGAGTGAATTTCAATCTTACAGTCCCTTTGCAATCTACTATGTAATCATAGACAGTTACCAAGAAGTTGTTACTGAAGACATGGGAATGCATATGCAGCTTAAAGTACCAGTTTACCTGCTGTGATTTCATAATTAACTTATTTAGCTTTAATACTTGTTTCATGTTATCCATAAGCACACTGAAAAGGAAATAAAAATATGATTTAGTAAGGTTATTTAATAACTTCAGTTACACACAATAGCTCACTAATGAAAGGATAATTAGTACGAATTTACTTTCATTAAATCTACCATATACTTGAATAAAAAGTCACAGTTTCACAAAATGTATCTGGAAAAGTTTATAATAAATTTCTGTTAAAATGAGAGATGCATTTCCCTAGAAAAATTTTTGGTCACAGGCTCGGTGCCTGTACCACAGTGGTTATGGCGCCAGCCACATACACTGATGCTGGCATTTTCGAACCCATCCCGGGCCAGCTAAACAACAATGACAATTGCAACAGAAAATAACTGGTTGTTGTGGCAGGTGCCTATAGTCCCAGCTACTTGGGAGGCTGAGGCAAGAGAATTGCTTAAGCCCAAGAGTTGGAGGTTGCTGTGAGCTACAATGCTACAGCACTCAACCAAGGGTGACATAGTGAGACTCTGTCTCAAAAAAAAAAAAAAAGAAAGAAAGAAAGAAAAAAAAAATTTCTGGTCACAATGAAGAGTATCAAATTTTTTAAAAAGTGAGAATATAATAGAATTTTTTAAATTGCAAATTTAAGAAAGATAATACTAATAACTTGGTATTAGCTGCTTTTTATTTTATTGTATTATTATTTTTTGAGACAGAGTCTCACTTTGTTGCTGTCGGTAGAGTGCTGTGACATCACAGCTTACAGCAACCTCAAACTCAACCTCTTGCCTCAGTCTCCCAAGCAGGTGAGATTACAGGCGCCTGCCACAATGCCCAGCTATTTTTAGAGACAGGGTTTCCATCTTGCTCAGGCTGGTTTCGAACTTATGAGCTTAAGTAATCCATCTGCCTTGGCCTCCCAGAGTGCTGGGATTACAGGCATGAGGCACCACAGTCTTATTAGCTGCTTTTTAAAAAACTGCTTTTATTTTTTAGAACAAATTTAAATTCATAAATAGAAGGTACTGAGATTTCCCTGCCCCCACATAGCTTCCACCATTATCAATCCTCTCCACCGGAGTGGGGGATTTTTCTTTTTGAAGACAGAGCCTCACTTTGTCTCCCTTGGTAGAGTGCCATGCTGTGGTGTCATAGCTCATGGCAACCTCAAACCCTTGGGCTCAAGCAATTCTCTTGCTTCAGCCTCCCAAATAGCTAGGACTACAGGCTATTTTTAGAGATGAGGTCTTGCTGTGGCTCAGGCTGGTCTTGAACCCATGGGGTCAGTCAATCTACTCCCCTCAGCCTCCCAGAGTGCTAGGATTATAGGCATGAGCCACAGTGCTTGGCCCTAGAATGGGGGTTTATTATTATTATTTTTGAGACAGAGTGTCACTATGTTGTGCTCAGTAGAGTGTTGTGGTGTCATAGCTCACAGCAACCTCAAACTCTTAGGCTTAAGCGATTCTCTTGCCTCAGCATCTCAAGTAGCTGGGACTACAGGCACCCACCACAATGCCTGGCTATTTTTTTGTTGCAGTTGTCATTGTTGTTTAGCTGGGCCGGGCCAAGTTTAAACCTGCCAGCTTTGGTGTATGTGGCTGTAACCACTGTGCTATGGGTGCCAAGCCTGGGGGATTATTTTTTAACAACCTACATTAACACCCTATTACCAGCCAACGTCCATAGTTTACACTAGGGTTCACTTTCGGTTGTGTATATTCAATGGATTTGGACAAATATATAACAAAATTATAGTAGCACACATAATGAAATACAACAGAATATAATACTGTTACAAAGGATACCATAAATAGGAAAAATTAATAAACTCATATTTCATCTTGTTTTTTTTTGGTAGAGACAGAGTCTCACTTTGTTGCCCTCGGTAGAGTGCTGTGGCATCAAAGCTCACAGCAACCTCCAACGCCTGGGCTTTGGTGATTCTCTTGCCTCAGCCTCCCAAATAGCTGGGACTACAGACGCCCACCACAACGCCTGGCTACTTTTTTGTTGCAGTTGGCTGGGGCCGGGTTTGAACCCGCCACCCTCGGTATATCAGGCCAGCACCCTACTCACTGAGCCACAGGTACTACCTGTCTTGATATTTTTTATATTTATACAGGGTAGCCATAAAGTTCGTGTGAAGACTTTATGGACACCCTGTATATCAACAAATAAATATTTTGTAAGTCTGTAATGAATATTTTATAAATGAAGGTACTTAGTGACAATTTCCCATTTTCCCTATATAGGACTATTAGTGTGATCAATGCTGTGATACCAATTATTCTGAGTATCAGCTAGGTGTGCAAAACATCACAGAAGACACATATTGGGAAGCCAAAGGGAATCTTTGTCCATACTTGAGAGAGCTGAATTCTTTTTTTTAACTAGTTACAGCTATCCTTAGCTGTGTTGAAAGATAAACTTAGACTCATTAAAATTAAACAAGTTTATTTGTGAAGACAGTGATTCCATAAATCAAGCAACAGATTGCAAGCAGTTCAGTGCTCCATTGCAGCCAGATGAGAAAGGAATCATTTTTAAATACAGTGTTCACAGGGCAGCATCTGTGGCCCAGTGAATAGGGCACAGGCCCCATTATACCAAAGGTGGTGTGGGTTTGAACCCAGCCTTGGCCAAACTGCAACAAAAAATAGCCGGCATTGTGGCAGGTGCCTGTCACCCCAGCTACTTGGGAGGCTGAGGCAAGAGAATTGCCTAAGTCCAGACCTGGAGGTTGCTGTGAGCTATGATGTCATGCACTCTACTAAGGGTGACAAAGTGAGACTCTGTCTTTAAAAAAAATTAAAAAGTGGCTTGGCGACTGTGGCTCAAGTGGCTAAGGTGCCAGCCACATACACCTAAGGTGGAGGGTTCAAATCCAGCCCAGGCCCACCAAACAAAGATGGCTGCAACCAAAAAATAGCCAGATATTGTGGTGGGCACCTGTGGTCCCAGCTACTTGGGAGGCTGAGGCAGGACACTTGCTTGAGCCCAGGAGTTGGAGGTTGCTGTGAGCTGTGATGCCACAGCACTCTACCCAGGGTGACAGCTTGAGGGTTCTGTCTCAAAAAAAAATAAATAAATAAAAAATAAAAAAGTAAGGTGTTCACAGAAGACAAAGAAGATATATTTGGTTGGTTAAAGCAGAAAGCCCCTAGTTAGAGGTTAGTTGGCAGTTTCTGATGAGTTAAGCTTAAATTTCATTTTACTGTTTATTACAGGCTTATGTAGGAATTCAAGGCACTGTAGCCCAAGATGCTGGAGCCACCTCAGACTAATGGCATCCTAATTAATTTTTTAAAAATATCTGTAAATTTTAAAATATGCTATGGCATTGCTTTGGCCTATTTGACCTTTCTGTTATACTCGTATATCATTGTGATGCATCTGTCTTGTACCCATTCCTTTAACTCAGGAATATTTTAAGCTTTTCTTTTATGAAGGAGCAATAGATTTAGTACCCATATTCAGATTTTAGCATGTATGTCATCCTGGAGCTAGCTGGAATATGAGAAGAATGCATACCAGTCTGGGCTAATATACCCAGATAGGAGAAGTGCCTAGATTCACACTGGAATTTTTCTGGCTCTTGGGAAGGGACGATCTTGTCACAAGAGTTCTAGAATTTTGGTAGATAAGATCACAGGTAAAGTTCCTGAGGCCAGATACTTAGGGCTAGGTTATAAAGGACCCAACTGTCAGAGTCTTTACTTTATATTCCTTGGCAAATTGTTTAATCTCAATAAGCTCATTACTACCAATGGGAAGAGCACTTCTCATCTCATTGAGTTCGTTTTGGATTAAGTGAAATAACATTTTTCCTGCTTTGTAGTATACTGAATAACTCTTTTTTGAGACAGAACCTCAAGCTGTCACCCTGGGTAGAGTGCCGTGGCATTACAGCTCACAGCAACCTCCAACTCCTGGGCTCAAGCGAGTCTCCTGCCTCCGCCT